CTCTGCGAGTCGAAGAGCCGCTCGGGCCCCGGCGCCTGCGGAGACTCCATCGCGCCACCTCAGGGAAGCCGAGCCACCGCCGCCGCCATCTTCCCCGCCGCGGGGTCTGCCGGGAAGCCGACGTCGCCGTCCGGGGAGGCGGAAGGTCCCGCCCCGGCAGCGCCCCGGAAGGGCGAGCGGCCCCGGCATGCCTTGCGGCCGGCCCGCGGGGACTACAACTCCCGGCATGCAGCCCGGGTCCCGGCGTGCCCCGCCCGAGGACTTCAGGTCCCGGCGTGCCGCGCGCGCGGTCGTGCTCCGGCTGGGGCGCCGCCTGGGAGCTGGCGGGCGAGGGCGCAGCCCCGGCGGAGCTCATGGCTGCGTTGAGGGCGGGGCGGGCCGTGGGCTGGCGCCTCCGGGAGTGGCGGGCCGTGGGGAGCGTTCGCTCGGGGCAGGCGCCCCCGGTGACCCCTGACCTCCAGGCCTCGCTGACGTCAGGGTCTTCTGACCCTCGGTCCCGGCGGACGTATGGGACCCCCGGCGCTCCTGTCCACCACTTGCGCGCGGGGGTCCCGGAGCCCCGGTTCTGCGTGCTGCCGTCGGGGTCCCCGGATCCCCGGGTCCGCGTGCTGCCGTCGGGGTCCCCGGAGCCCCCCGGGGGCCGTGCGCGCGTGTGGCTGGCCGCTGCACTGGGTGCCGGGGGCGCTGCGCTCTGGCTGTGGGCCTGGGGTCGGGGCTGTCCGGCCGTCCACGCCGCCGTCTCCTCTCCGCCCGCCTCTCCGCGCAGCCAGTACAACTTCATCGCGGATGTGGTGGAGAAGACGGCACCTGCCGTGGTCTATATCGAGATCCTAGGCCGGTAACGGTGGGGTCTCCTGGGTGTCCCGGGGGCCGGAGGGTGGGCGCACCGGCGGGTCCTCTCGGCTGGGCTGTCCCGCCCCCCCCCCCCCCCAAGGCACCCTTTCTCCAGCCGCGAGGTCCCGATCTCTAATGGCTCCGGGTTCGTGGTGGCCTCCGATGGGCTAATCGTAACCAATGCGCACGTAGTGGCCGACCGGCGCCACGTCCGCGTGCGGCTACCCAGCGGCGACACATATGAGGCCATGGTGACCGCGGTGGACCCCGTGGCCGACATCGCCACCCTACGGATTCAGACCGAGGTGGTGCGCGGGTGGCGAGGGCGGGCGGAGCGGACCCCTGCGCGGAGCGCACCCCTGCGCGGGCCCCGCTGACTGGCTGTCGTGCCTCCGCTCAGGAGCCGCTGCCCACGCTGCCCCTGGGGCGCTCAGCCGATGTCCGCCAAGGGGAGTTCGTGGTCGCCATGGGAAGCCCTTTCGCGCTGCAGAACACCATCACGTCTGGCATCGTCAGCTCGGCGCAGCGGCCGGCTAGGGACCTGGGCTTGCCGCAGACCAACGTGGAGTACATCCAGACGGATGCGGCCATAGACGTGGGTACCGGGGCGCGCGGGGCGCGGGCCGCTGTGCACGCGGATGTGTGGAGACAGTGTCCTCTCCCTGTGCTTCTGGCCCCACAGTTCGGAAACTCAGGAGGCCCCCTGGTTAACTTGGTGAGTGGCGCGCCCTTCAAGGATCCCTGTGCCAGGTCAGCGTGGAAGGTCAGCAGCACCCATGTCTAGGGTGCGTGGGGTCCCTGAGCGTCTTGGTCTAGGCAGGTCTCCCTGAAGCGCCTTGGTGCCCTCCGCCCCCTACTCTGTTTGGGGTAGGGGACAGGAGCCTGTATCCCTGCAGGACGGGGAGGTGATCGGGGTGAACACCATGAAGGTCACGGCCGGGATCTCCTTCGCCATCCCTTCGGACCGACTGCGAGAGTTTCTGCATCGAGGCGAAAAGAAGAGTGAGCCCCACTTGAGCGGGGTGGGGGGTTCCCCAAGTAGAGTTGGGGCACAGACTGGCAGGTGCTAGGAGAGGGAGGTGGGTGTCCCCATGAGGCTCTCTCTGCTACCGTCTTTTCTCTACTGTAGGTTCTTGGTTTGGAGTTGGGGGGACCCAGCGCCGGTACATCGGGGTGATGATGCTGACGTTGACCCCCAGGTATGAGCAGCACAGTTGTGCTGTCATCCCGCCTCTAAGTTGACTGACCTCCGAGGCCACCAGGACAGCTGTGTCCCTTAATGTCTCCCACCTCACTTCCTGCTGTTCGCCTACAGTTAGATTGATCTGGTCTTGTTCCTGCCCTGAATTAAAGTCTTCAATGTCTGATCCCAAGTTCACAGATGAGTTTGCTCTTGGCCCTGCCAACGTTGCACCTGTCACTTCCTGCATGGTCTCTGTGCAGCCAGCTTGATTTCCTCTCGTTCTCATGCTCGTTTATGTCATGAGACACCCTAGTATCCCGACAGTCGGTCCTCCTGTCCCTGAGCTGCTCCTGGCACAGACACGTGCCATCTGTGCCGCTGACTTAACAGCAGGTGCTGTGCACGTGTCCCACTTCTACCTCCTAGAAGGCGCAGTCAGACAGTTGTGGGTGTCTGCTGTACCCGTGGACTTTTCAGGTGTAGGTGACTTAGGGTGGGCTTGGGATGGAAGAGTGTCTGGGCACAGTTAATGGTGCCTTTATCCTTCCAGCATCCTTGCTGAACTCCAGCTGCGAGAACCCAGCTTTCCAGACGTTCAGCACGGCGTGCTCATCCACAAAGTCATCCTGGGCTCCCCCGCCCATCGGTGAGGGCACATCATGTGGGGGACATGGTGGACAATGAGGTGTGCTCATCCACAAAGCTGGTCTGGGCTCCCCTGTGAGGACAGGTCACATGGGGGACATGGCAGAAGGACTTGGGGGGCATTGAGGTACCTGTGTAAGGTTATTGGAGGCCGCACCTCTCCCTTCTCTATTTCTTCTTCCTCCCAGGGCTGGCCTCTGGCCAGGTGAGGGGACAGTGCATGGGGGGATAGGAACAGTGAGGTGCCCTCTTCCTCCTTGCTCCCAGGGCCGGCCTCTGGCCTGGTGAGGGACAGTGCATGGGGGAATGGGGATAGTGAGGCAGTTGTGCAGGGTGACAGCAGGTGACACCCTCTCCCTCCTCTTCCTCCTTGCTCTCAGGGCTGGCCTCTGGCCTGGTGAGGGGACAGTGCAGTGAGGGACGGGGACAGTGAGGTGCCCTCTTCCTCCTTGCTCCCAGGGCTGGCCTCCGGCCTGGTGACGTGATCCTGGCCATCGGTGATCAGCTGGTCCAGAACGCTGAAGACGTGTACGAGGCAGTCCGCACCCAGACCCAGCTGGCGGTGCGGATCCGTCGGGGGCCAGAGACCCTGACCTTGTACGTGACCCCTGAAGTCACAGAGTGACCTCATCAGCAAGAGTGGACATTCCTGCTCTGACTTCCTCCCGCCTCCCGAGCCAGGGCACCCCAAATGCCCGACAGTGAGATGGACCAGGGGGGCGGGCCCCTCCAGCTGCCAGAACCAAGTCTCGGGTTCTGAAGACCCACAAAGCCACTTTTTATATAAAATAAAATTATATCGAGCAACATGTTATAGTCGACGTAAGGGAAGGTGCTGGAGGTAAGGCAGTGTCCCCGAGAACCGAGGGGGGATGCCGCGGCCGGCCTGACCGTTCACATCGCCGTTCACCGTGAGCAGCACTGCCGTCTGGCGTTCTGGGCAGCTAGTCCCCAGCTGGGCTCCGTGCGGGCCTGGGCCGCAGACCTCACCCCAGCCGGGAAGGAGGGCGGTGACCTGCCGGGGTGCAGTGGGCCCACAGCGGCAGCGGTCCTCTGTGAGCTCCTGAGCTGATGCAGCCTCGGACCGCCGTGAGGGGCTGTGGTGGCCGTCAGGGGAGGGTGCTGGTCCGTCAGATGACCTGGTTGTTGGTCTGACCAGGGTAGCGCTCAAATATCCTGTTTGCTTCTTCGCTGAAGGCGTCACCTGCAGAGTGAACAGATGTGGGAGGCACTGGGGCGGCGGCAGGGGGGCGCCGCTGTGGGAGGGGCCAGGCCACCCGCTGCCCCTCATACCGATGTGGCAGTTGTGCACCCAGATGCGGTGGCCATCGTATTTGCAGTTGCACTTCATGGCGTTATTGGTGAAGTCGCTCTCAGCCACTTCATAGTTGGGGTTGATAACCACCTGCGGTGGTGGAAGGCCATGTCCCCAGCTTCGGTCCTTGGGTCCTCGGTTGTGTTCCTCAGTGTCCCCCATGCCCCCCCAGGTTTCCCCTATGTCCCCCAACATCCCTCCCTGTATCCCCATTAACCCTCCCATGTCCGCTCATATCCCCTCATGTTCTCCTGTGTCCCTTCCCGTGTCCCCCCATGTTCTCTCCCATGTCCCCCCATATCTCCCCATGTGTCTAATCATGTCCCTCCCAGTGTCCCTCCCCATGTCCCCCACGTCCCTCCCCACGTCCCCCCAGTGCCGCACCTGCAGGATGTAGTTCCCAGGCTTTACGTCTGTGATGTCGATCCACTGGCAGTCAATGTCGTGCCGATAGAGGTCCCAGCAGCCCACGGTGATGCCCTGCTCCCCAAAATTAGCACACTCGTACCTCTTGGACACATCTGGAGGGGATGCTGTGCATCAGAGGAGGGGGAGGCCGAGGGGAGGAAACACTTGTCTAGGCACTGAGACTGTAGGGTGGATATGCTGGCCTCTCCGGGCACTGAGACCATGAGGTGGACATGTCACCCTCTATGGACACCAGGACCATAGGGTGGACATGCCACCCTCTATGGGCACCAAGACCATGAGGTGGCCACGCCACCCTTTCTGGGCACTGGGACTGCGGGGTGGACACACTGCTGTCTCCAAACACCAGGACTATGTGGTGGACACACCGGCCTCTCCAGGCCCCACTCACCCTCCTGACATTCTGTGTCCTCAAGACAGAAACTGGCTTTGTGGCCTTCGGCCACCTTGGTGCCATTGGGGGTCAGGATATCATAGTGCGTGAAGATGTCCATGCTGTGGTAATGCCTGTGGGGACACAGGGTGCAAACATGTCCCTCCCCGCCCGCAGCAGGCCCCCCCGCCCCGCCAGGCCCCCCCGCCCCGCCCCGGCTGCCCACGTGACCTCTGCCCTCTCACCCATGGCACTCGTGCCACACCCAGGAGTGGCGGCCGGCCTTGGGCCTGAAGTCGGCCCGGCCCAGGTTGTGGATCTGTGAGGAGAAGCGCAGCAGGCGCCGGTGGCCGTAGGGCCAGTTGGCGGCCCGGGCGGAGCTGGCCAGGCAGTTCTCCTCGGCTGCGCAGTAGAGCATGTGGAGCGGCCGGTCCTCGATGTAGGCCGTCTCCTGCACCAGGGCCGAGTGCAGCAGCAGGTCAGAGGCCGCTGCCCCGGGAGCAAGGTGTTAGCTGGGCTCCTGGCGGGGCTGCCCGCGGGGGAGGTCGGCCACTGCCCACAGGGGAAGGTCAGCCACCGCCTGCCCCAGGGGAAGGTCAGTCACTGCCCATGGGGAAGGTCGGCCATGCCCGCCCCCTGGGGAAGGTTGGCCACCACCCACCCCACAGGTAAGGTGAGCCACCACCTGCCCCACAGGGAAGCTTGGCCACTGCCTGTCCCATGAGGAAGGTCAGCCACCACCCACAGGGGAGCCGACCACCCGGCCCACACTCACTCTCAGAGCAGATGACCCCAGCTGTGAAGCGGGGCTCGGGCCTCTTGCAGGTCACGTGGGTGCCGTGGTGGACACACTGGTCCAGGGACAGCTCTGTCCCTGTGCAGCGCACACCACTCATCACCACCTCGGTCACATTCCCTGAGTCCCAGTACCAGGTCTCCTGAGGACAGGCAGGTGTTCCACTTGAGGGGCCTGGAAGCCCCCTAGGCTTCCCTCTTGCCTCTCAGGGTATTTCTCCCTGACCTGCCCTGGGGTCACCCCTGTACCCATCCGCCCCGCCCACCAGGGGTTCCCACTCAGGCATCATCCCCACACCTACCCACCCCACACAGGCCCCCCTTGGTATTTCCTGGCTCCTCACCTGTAGACCGTGGTTGGCATAGCCCAGGCCCAGCTGTCTGCAGGCTACCATGGCTTCCAGTGTCCCCCAGTCGTCCCCGCAGATGAGCCCCCATCGAGGGGACCCAGGTCCTCCGGTTTGCACTTCCAATCGCCCCTCGTACCGGCTGCGGCCCCCACTGAGCCGGATCTGTGGTGACATGAGGCACTGGGGAGCTTTTGGGGCAGACTGGGGTCTACAGGGATTCAGAGGCTCGGACAGGCCCGGAGGGGGCTCAGGGGAGCTGCGTGCTGGTGCGGGTAAATGGCCAGACCCGACCCCAGGGCACTGGGCTGACCTTGGCCTCCACACCTGTGGAGGGCAGATTGCAGCGGACAGCGGCATCCTGGCTGTGGGAACAGTCCTCGGCCGTGATGTTCTTGTAGGAGCACTTCCAGAGGGAGGGCTCCTGCCCCGAGCACCGCACCTCGCTCAGGTGGATGGCCCCCATGCCTGGGGGGTCAGCGACCAGGGAGCGGTCACCCATCACGGAGGGGAACCTCAGCACCATCACAGGGGGGGGGGCCCCAAAGGTGTTTGAACCTCCCTCCCCAGAACACGCCTCCGGCCGACTCTGCCGCCCCCACCCCTTGGCCCCGGCCCCCTGTGGACTCCACTCAGAGATCAGGGAGCAGTAACTGCACCCTAGGAACACACACTTCCTCCCTGCTCACCCCTCACCCTGCCTCATGGATCAGGGAGGTGTAACTGCACCCCAGGAATGCACACCTCCCCTGCCCCCTCAGGCCCTCACCCTGCCCCATCCGGGCTCCACTCAGTGCCTCCCGGGCGCTCCCGAAGCCCAGCTCCCGACACACCACGCTGGCCGCCTGCACGTCCCACTTGCGGTCACACACGGTGCCCCAGGTGCCCGCCTTCAGGACTTCCACTCGGCCCTCCCCAGGGTGGGCCCCGCCTTTGAGCCGCACACGGGCCTGCAGGGGGAAAGGAGACTGAAGGGTGCCCAGGAGGGCACGTGGGCACTGAAGGGACTTGGTGGGGGTGAGAGCGAGGCCTGAGTCTTCAGCCAACCTGGGAAGGCTCCCTATGAATTCTGACAGGGCTGTGCTGGGTGGTCCCCACTCAAGAGATCTGGGGTCTGCAGCCCACCCAGGAAGTCTCCCCTGTGCTGGAGGTCCCCACCCAGAGGTCTGGGGTCTGTGTGCACCCCCAGGAAGGGCCCTCCCTGCCGTCAGAGTCAGGCTGTGCTGGATGCCCACCCATGTGGGCAGGTCACCTCACCTCCCCAGAAGGCTTCAGCTGTTGGTGTTTCTTGTGGCCACTGGGCACAGCATACAGGGGACCTGGCACACAGCTCACCACGACGGGGGCACCTGCAGGGCACCTGATGGTGTCGTTGGCATGATAGAACTCCAGGGAGCATAGGGAGAGGTGGGCCTCTGTGCCCACGCAGGTCACCCCATGCAAGCCGAAAGCATGCTGCTGCCTCTGGGCCAGCAACCTGGGGGACAAGAGGGGACATCAGGGTGAGATGATGCTCCAGCTTCTCCATCCCCAACCCCCCACCCGCTGTGCCTCCCCCAACCTCTCAGGACCGTGTGTCCTCCCCTCTTTTCTGAGTTTGCCTCCAGAGAGACAAAGGAGATGGCCAAGTTCTGTGCTCAAAGAGCCGACGGGCCGGCAGGAGGATGCTGGGACGCTGGGCAGCCGAACTAACTGGACGTGAAGGGCGGCTGGTCTTGGTTCCCTGACAAAACCTCCTCCCAAATGGTTTCCAGCTGTTTGTCCTGACAGGGTTGAGGCTAAGGCAGGATGAGGTGGCCAGAAGGGAGGGGCTCCCAGACAGGAACCCAGCAGCCAGTGACCCCTCAGTTACGGTGAGACAGACACAGTGGGGTGAGTCAGGACCAAGGAGAGAGCAGGTCCAGCACAGAAACGATCTCTCTGAGCTCAGAGGATCCTCCAGGTCAGGGACCAGCCCAGAGTGGACACAGGCCTGGATGGGCAGTGGTGGGGGACCAGCCCAGAGTGGACACAGCAAGATCTGGATGAGCAGTGATGGGGACCTTCCCAGAGAGTGGACACAGTGAGGCTGAATGGGCAGTGATGGGAAATCAGCCCAGAAAATGGACAGAAGGCCTGGATGGGCAGTGATGGGGGACCAGCCCAAGTAGACACAGAAAGGCCTGGAGTTTCAGGAATGAAGAGGCACAAAGGTATCTGAGAGCTGGACGAAGCACATGGCCAGAGCAGGAGGGCAGACACGGCAGCCGGGTGGTGAAGCTGCAGGCCCCGAGCTGTGGGGCCTGAGCTGAGGTCTCTTACTAAGGGTGTCTGTGCTTCTGCCCTTGACACGTACTGAGGCCGTGTTCCCTAAGCCACATTATGGTGGAGAAGCTGAAGCCTGGGAACCGCAGAGAACTGATTGTGGGAATGAGGCTCCTTCCTTCCTGTTGCTGGAGGAGTGAAGGACGTACTGATGTGTGGGCATGGGAGGACTCCTCTACCTAGAGTGCTGGACGAGAGAACCAGTCCTCCCAGGAGGCTGGCTGGTTCCACCCAGACGGGCAGGCAGGAGGCCTGGTGTTGGCGTGGGGGCCTCTGAGGCAGACATGGTGGGAGAACCACTGCACTGTGGTGCCCTCACTTGGTGCTGGAGGAAGGAAGGACTATGAGGGAGTGAAGCCACTGGCCGGGAAGACATAGCGAGAAGGAGAAAGAAGTTCAGAAACAGAACAGACAAGGGAAGCCTGGAGCTTGTTCAGAACGCCTCTGGAGATGCTCAGAAGAAATGGGTTCTGAAGATAAAGATCAAGAACTCTCACCAAGTCTTGTTGGATGAAAGCCCAAGAAACCATCAAAGGAAAAAGCTGTGTATCTTCTAAAATCTGCCCTTCTCTTCCCCAACAACTAGCAAAGTAAAAATCACAGCATAGAATGTGGGATGGGGAAGGCCAGGGTAAGACCATGCTGGGCAAAGATAACTGTAAGCTCAAAGTTTGCTAAAAGAACAATCTCAAACAGTACCCTCCTCTGACATCACCAGAGAGGACTATGGAATGCTGGACACAGGGACCCCTAGGTGGCCCTGGAATTTGCTCAGGAGAGGTGGGACAACAGAACAGAACAGAACACGTCACTCACAAAGATGTGATCAGGGAAACTCTGTCCTCTGAAGCTATGCTAGATGCAACCACTGGGGTTGGAAGGTGTGTCCATGTCAGTTCTGAAGTTTTGTTTCTTCAGTTTTGTAGGAACCCGGGGGACAGTTACAGAATATTGAGAGTAACTCTAAATGGAGGCAGGGACGCAGGATTCTGCCGCTGGCCGCGAGGTTCCCAAAAGCACTCTTGAAGGTCCGTCTCAGGCAAACGCATGCTGTTGGTGAGAGCTCCACCGAGGGTGACGCATGACCCTATGGACAACGGGGCTAATGCCCTGTCCGATCCTGTGCCGTCCGCATCGTCTTGGACACACTTGAGCCCACGGCTGCAGTTACTTGTGTCAACCCACCTTGTTGAGGCTCTTCCTTCTCTTTCACGGACCCTTCCCTTTTCCCAGCATGAAGTTCCTCTCCAAGGAGTAGCGGCACCTAACAACATGTCCAAACTACACAAGGCCACACTGTGCCGCCCTCAGATCTGAGGAGCACTCTGGCTGCACTTTGTCCGTGTGTTCTTTCCTCCATGGGCTAGCCAGCGCTCTTCTCCAGCACCGCAGCTCACAGGCATCACGGCTCTGTGGCCTTAGGCACTGGATGCACTGGATGCTGCCGGGTGCCATCAAGTTGTCTGTAACTCCTAGAGACCCTGGGAACGGCACACCTGAAGGCCGGCCCATCCTCCGCCTCCTCACCATCTCTGCAGGACAGGAATGACCCGAGGCAACTGAAGCTCCTGGGGGCAGGCAGAGTGCCCCTAGGATTCACTCAGGAGTGACAGGGAAGACCCAGGACCACTGAGGGGTCAACGGATGGACGCCATTGAGATGTTAAAACCTCAGGCAACTGCATAGCTCTCCAGAAACCAACAGCAAGGTCAACTGACTTCTTTTTTGATAGGTCATTTACTGCTTGATTAACTCTTTTGACAAACAGTTTTCTCTTGGTCCCCTCTCTGAGTGCACCCCAATTTCCCAACTGCACTCCTTGGCTGATCCATCCTCTCTCCACCCCCCTTGAACTCAGTTTACCTCTTCCTCGGCACCCTGCCTGCTCGGGGTTTGGCTTTGACCTTAAACTTGGTGGCTGGTCTGAAAAAAGCAGAAAGAGGTTGGTGGAGGTCGTGTCAAGGCAGGTGGCCCAGGAAGGGTGGAGGTTCTGCGCCTTGGGGAGCCCTTCATGCGCCGGGTGGGACGGGACAAAGCCGAGGACAACACCACCACCCTGCTCTCCGGATTTGATGCCGGAGACCAGAAACCCAGTTAGGTCCATTCAGGTGGACGGAGGGTGAGGAGCGGGCAGGGAGAGGGCAAAGGGGGACTAGGAGGAGGGGAGAAGCTGGGGAGGGAGGGAGAATGCAGGTGCTGAGGTGAGATCGGAGCTATGTGTGCAAATGGAAAGGTTAGGCCCTCCTCCGCCATTCCCACATGCTTTCCTCTTTGAGCTTCCCCAGACCAAAGCTGAGGGGACGTCTCCAGTCCCAGCCCCCCTCCCCTTCACCCCTCTAGTCCATCAGGCTGGGGTCTGGGATGGACGTGGATTTGCTGCCATCCATCCATCCACCTCCTGGCCCACAGGGGTGGGCAGGAGGCCCCGGGGCTTCGGCCCCATTACCTTCCAAGGGGCTTAGGGCGTCGGACCAAGGCCTGGGCGGCTCGTCTCCTCAACTTTCTGTGAGGGCGAGACAACAGCAATCAGGATCAGCCTGCACCATGTGGGAAGGGCTGGGACGAGGGCTAAGATGCCTTCACAGCATCCTTCACAGAGGGCAGAGCTCAGGCTCTCCAAGTCCCCTGCCTTCAGGGTCCCTGTGCCAGGACTGTCTAAGAGCCGGCTAAGGAGGGATACGGATCACGGCCGCGCCAAAGAACTGTTGTCGTTAGGTGCTGCGTCGCTGCGATCCCACAGACAACAGATGTGAACCCTGTCCCCTCCGGTGCCACCTTACTGTCTCCGACACACTCGATCCCACTGCTGCCCTCTGTCAGTCCACTTGGCTGACGGTTGTCTTCTTGCCTGCCTTCCCTCCCCGTTTCCAAGCATGATGTCCCTTTCCAAGGAATAGATGTCCCTCTCCAGGGAATAGCCCCTCCTAGCAACGTGCCTGAAGTGTTAGACGCACCTTTGCCATCCTTGCCTGCAAGGAGCACTGTGGCCGCACCCTCCCCAAGACATAGCTATTCGTTTTCCTGGCCGTCCATGGGATGCTCAGTGCTCTTCTCCAGTGCCACAGCTCAAAGGCACCAATTCTTCTGCTGTCATTGGTATTAACTGTCCAGCTCTCAGCTGCATTAGCAAGTAAGTGACAAGAGTGTGGCCTGAAACAGGTGCACCTAACTTCTCAAACTGGGCCCAGGAATGAGGCGGGGACTCAAACTTCAGGAAGTACTGGGAGCCTAGTGGAAAGGAGCTGTGCTATCAACAGAAGGCAACTTGAACTGTGCTTCAAGTCCACCAGGTGTTCTGTGGGAGAAAGCTAGACAGTCTCATCCTGTGTGACTGACTGCCTCTAAAATCCTGTGGGAGGGACAGCTATGAGTTGGTTCCAAGTAGGGCACATACCACCACCAATAAACTGTGGGAGGGCAGGTGAAGGGAAGGGCAGGGGCAGGGCTAGGCTGACAGACCTGGACAGAGCGAGCCTTAGGATGACCAGAGAAGCGGAGAGGATCTCTTGAATGCACTCTGGTTTCCGGCCTTTTCCAGGTCTGAGGCCAGCAGTCCCAGGCTGGGGACAGAGGCTGGCTACTGGAGAAAGTGTCCTTGGTTTGAGGAGGGAGCACGAGGTCAGTCTGCTTGACAGGACAGCGCTCATCTCGTCCAGCCCCAATTCCAGCCCCACACGCTTCGGTGCTTCACAGGCTCAGCTCAGCTCCCAGAATTACTTCCAGGCACAGAAATTCTAAAGCCTCCTTTTTAATTGGCCTAAATAATTGACCTATTTGAAGAGGGTGCCTAAAGGCGGTTCTCGGGGCCGCAGGTGCCTCTCCTCTCAGTCTCCCGTGATCCTGAAGACTTTAATTACAGCCCCTCTTTGTCTTGGTCAACTTTTTATGGAGGAGAGACGTCTCATCTCTGTGTCATCTTAGACATTTATGGGATCTCCTGTAATCATCTTAATCGTTCTTGACTAGCACATGTTCTTGCTCTGCTGTTTCCTCTTATGGCATAAGATCTGGAGATAGTATATACTGTGTGTAGATAGACTAGAATGAACAACAACAAGAAACCCTATCTTTTTATCTCCTTTTAAAACACTGGTTGAAGCTCTCTGGTATTTCCTGCCCTAGCTGCTTCCAAAATAAGTATTTAGTTGGCTTTTTTTGCCAAAACATCCACTA